CTTGACGTATGGGCTGTGGGTTCGGTCCAAAATCTCACATCTAGTAAATGTCTTCTACTATTTTATGTGTAAGAAGTTTGCTTTCTTGCATATATTTGTTCATGGGATTGATGTGCCGATTATGGTGTGACATTTACTGCATAGTCTAGGAAAAGGTGATAATTAACGGAAGAATGTTTACTGTTTAAGCTCAATGCACGTGGATTCATGATGCGTGAATCTTTACTTTAACTTGGAATTCATAATACTACCCATTCTCATTTGAATCCCTTGATCGTTATCGTTTCTCCCTGATCATTTTTCTTTCTACAGGATGTCATTGCCTGTGATGTTATAAATCCCGATCACATCGATGTGGAATTTAACTCTATTGGAGGATTGGAGACTATCAAGCAAGCATTATATGAACTTGTGATACTTCCTCTTAAGAGACCTGAGTTATTTTCACACGGGAAGCTTTTAGGACCCCAGAAAGGCGTATTGCTTTATGGGCCACCTGGTACAGGAAAAACTATGCTTGCAAAAGCTATTGCAAAGGAGTCCGGAGCAGTTTTTATTAATGTTAGGATTTCAAATCTGATGAGCAAGTGGTTTGGTGATGCACAGAAGCTTGGTAAGCTCGAAAGTTTTAGATCATTCTTTAACCACATTCTTGGCTCAAGGTTTTCCTTGCTCATTCTGGAAAAATATGCTTTATTATGTGAGTATTGCTTCAACTTTATGGCGTAGTTTGCAACAAGCTAGCTAGGTTACACGGTCAAGATGAACGAACAATTTAGATCCTTAAATGCTGTTTTCATCATGCTTTCTAGTGAGATTTGCTTAATATATATATTTGTTGGTTCAAGTGATTTTCTTTAATGAGCTCTGAAGCTTACCGAAAAATAAGACCTTCCAATTAATTGCATCTAATTCATTAGTTTTGTATTATCAGATTATTCAAAGAATAAATTACAATCTAAGAACTGCACTCCTTGTAGCTGGTATGGTAAAAAAGATTCTTTTAGTTGTGATCAGGCCATGTAAGTTGGAAGTGTGTATATGATGTGGAATCTAGTTTGTTCTCCAATATTGATGCAGAACAAAACTAGAAACCGGGAATCAATTATTATTATAAAACAATACCCTTATCTGCTTCTATATGGAAACTTGTTCTAGTTTTGCTTATTTTAGGTGTTGGTTTTTTATTGATTGTTGAGATAAAAATTGTAATCATACTTAGTTTTGAAGATTTGATTGCCTTATATGTCATGACTAAGAAATCATAGCAATGGCTGTGACATTGTCACCTATTGCTGAATTATAGCTGTCCAACATTTTTTTTTTTTTTGTCTCTCCCTATTATTAAGTTAGGCATCAATGTGATTGGAACTAAAAGTAGGAGTCCTAACCCTCTTTGCATTGTGAGAGGAACTAAAAGTAGACATTAAATGTATCAGGAAGTTGTTTACTGTCATCACCCTCTTTCCCTCCCCCACAGCCATACAGCCTCTATTTTATTGCACTACTTCCCCTCAAATATACCCACCATTTTTCTAATTGTTCTTCTCACTCCCCTTGATCTACAAGCGAGGCCTTAGCACCCACACTAGTTTTTGGCTCCTGTCTCCTTTTGTTTGCCAAGCTCCTTCCATGAAAAAAAAAAACTTCAGACCTTTTTATATAGCCTTTTGTGCATTTGTCAGCATTCTTTAGAATGGTTGTAAACATTCAGCCATCGTCTACTTAGGATTGTGAGTGTTTGATATCTTCTGTATAGGATTCATTTTTTTGGTGGCTCTGTCCAGGTTCGACTTGCCTTTTTCCTCTAGTTTCTACTCAAACATCATTGTTGCTTGGAATTTTATTACTTTCATTTGTTACTTCCATTCATCAATCTTTAGGACCTGCTTGTCCCAACTTAGTATTAATATATTTTTTTAACCTATTTTTTAATCTCTTTTATCACCAGGATGCATTAATTCCTGAGTTAATTTTAGCAGTAAGCTTTGCACTTCTAGTAGAAATTCCATATGAAATCTATGGCGAGAATGAATGCTCCAATACCTATTTGATGGGAATAAAAAATGGAAGGGAAAATTAATAGAAAATGTTGTTATATGAGAAAGGGAATTTACAATATTCAAGCATTTGAGAAGCTAGAACTCCCCCAATAAAACAACTCCCAAAGATTTAGTTACCATCCCAACACAATCGCATGTCAGAGCAGCAACCACCATCGCAAAGACCAAGACATAAAGGATAACTTAGAGATTAGACACTATACTAGCAATTTTATTGCTAACTGGAGGTTTTTTCATCCCGTTTACTGTTATGTCAGGTTTATGTTCTGGTTTGCAGAATGACATTGGTGCTGCATTTATATTATTATGACTCAGGTTTTGTATTATTCTGTTACTTGATCAACTCTCCTTCTGATGGTAATTACTAGTGTTATGGAAGTATACAATATTCAAGTGCTGAGTAAGCTTTTCAAGGCATGAGGCAATCAATCCCTTATGCAACATGATTTTTGCTTGCCAGGAAGAAACGCAGAAGTTCCTCATCTGAGTAAAGAGAGGCACGTTAAAATTAACTGAAAAAACAGTTATATGTTGATGGCAGGGGATGCGATCAATGAATGGATCAAGGAGGCTTTATTCATGTCATCCTTTATTAAGGAAGAAGCCCACCGGGGATGACTTGCTTTTGATCTGCGTAAAAGTAGAATATTCTGTAGCCATGTATGACCTATGAAATACACAATTAGGTGTAAATATATCTTCTTCAGTGACAATATAGCAATTAAATACATAAGAATACTAGGTCTACTTTGAATTGATTATTGCATTAAAAAATTATATAATTGACCATAATCAGACACAAATGCTATTTTGTCCTTTGTTGCCTTGATGTTCTAACTCATATGAAGTATTATTTTGCAGTGGCTGCTGTGTTTAGCTTGGCTTATAAACTTCAGCCTTCTATTATCTTTATTGATGAGGTCGACAGTTTCTTGAGTCAACGACGCTCTAGTGATCATGAAGCTTTGTCAAACATGAAAACTGAGTTTATGGCTTTGTGGGATGGATTTACCACAGATCGTGAGTTTCTAGGACTATTGATTTTTTTTTTAAGTGATAGTTGGTGTGCTTTTATAATTCATCACAAAAATTAACATTTAAAAATTGAGATAAAAGAAGGAAATATTCTGTCTGTTAGTATATTGGCCGTGACCCTTTGTTGGATAAGCTCTTTCTTGATGAATTCTATTCTGGTTCTACAGAGAATGCACGCGTAATGGTCCTTGCTGCTACCAATCGTCCTTCAGAACTTGATGAAGCAATTTTAAGACGACTTCCTCAGGCATTTGAAATTGGGATACCTAACAATCGGGAGAGGGCTGAGATACTAAAGGTGATTTTGAAGGGTGAGAGGGTTGAAGACAACGTTGACTATGATCACATAGCTAACTTATGCGAGGGGTATACTGGTTCAGATCTTCTCGAGCTCTGCAAGAAAGCGGCATATTTCCCAATCAGGGATCTACTGGATGAAGAAAAGGAAGGAAAACAATCTAATGTAAGTTATCATCAACCTCGTTTGCCTTGTTTCTGATGTTTTATCTGCCAGCCTTGGTCAACGCATCAACCTCGTTTGCCTTGTTTCTGATGTTTTATCTGCCAGCCTTGGTCAACGTTTCTATTTGAATCAATGTTAAAGTATTGGGTATCCTTTGGATTGGAAGTGTTATTTATATTCTAAATTTGAGCGGTCTTGCAATATTCTTCTTGACCATTTTTTGGACGTTACTCAGTTTCTTTCACGTGATTACTTTTCAGTCACCGAGGCCACTGTCACAGTCAGATTTGGAGACCGCTCTCTTCTCATCGAGAAAGACAAAGGTTGTTGCTAGTGAGTACGCTGGATTAGGGTCGCAACAGACAGAACTGAGTGATTCTCATATTCGAGCAGTGTTGAGCGAGTTCTCGAAGTTTGGCATTTCTCCAGAAAATGTTGGATCAGACGAAGATGACTCTTGAGAGAAATCCCGACTCTTCTCCACATTGGTGCAGAAAAAAAGAGGACGTGGTGAGGGAGAGGTTTCTGTTTCATTTATTACATTAACGCCATAGTTTTAACATTGATGATTCTATAATCGTTACAAGGAAAAGCCACGGAAATACGTAGCCTTGTTGATGAGTTTGAATAGCTTTGTTTTTTAGTACCATATCGTGTATTGGAGAGTCATTTTTGGACTATTGTGTCTAAATACTATTGAGTTATTGCTCTTGTGCAATTCCTCTCATTCTCTCTCAATTAACTCTTGAAATTATCAATATTTAGGGTTGGAATGTTCAAAGGCTTAGAATGTCAAAAGGTTTGCAACATCCTCATTCGATACCTTACTCTTCTGAAACTACAGGCAATCCTTCTTTGAACCAATTGCAGAGACCCCCTTGGATTATCAGGCTCCTTGGTTTGGTCTGAGGGAATTTTTTTTTCTCTGTTTGTGTGATAGATCTGAGTGTAAGGTGAGAGGAAGTGTTGAGGAGAATACAGTAGGGGAGAGTGGGAGAATGGGGTGGCAAGAAGACGAAGACGAAGACGAAGTTAGGGGCAGTGAGGCGAAAACAGCCATGTTTTTGGAGCTTCCTCCACTGAAATCAGCTGACTAAACCAAAGGAGAGCAGGGCTAGATATTCGCGAGCATGTGGGCCAAAGTGACTGTGGTCTTAGATTTCTCATAATCCCCACACCCATTTTGATATACATTTCCTTCATCCTCGGCTTTTCAGCTTTACAGCAACTTTGTTGGATAATATTTCTGAGCTGTTCTATAATTTACTTACAGACTCCGGTTGTAGTTTGGTTATATTGTTGGATTAGAAACGCTCATTAGAAACAAAATGGAAATAATATACCCAATATGTGAAATAAACATACCCACAAATTAATTTCACATATTCGTCGACTTATTTTTAATTAGACAAAATTCATTCTTGACGCACCTCAAAACCCTCCATATTATCACCCAAAACCCTTCTCAACTCCTCACCGATTCTCTGAAATCCGGCGAAAATTATCGATGGCATTATCGAAACCTTCCTTCTTGACGCACCTCAAAACCCTAACCGGATCCCACCATTTGCTCCGGCACCATGCACCGGCTCCTCCCGTCGTCGCCCTTCGTTCTCTCTCTTTTGCTACGCCGGAGGAAGCTGCTGCGGAACGACGCCGTCGGAAGCGCCGCCTCCGCATCGAACCTCCTCTCTCTTCCTCCTCTGCTACTCGCCCTCAATCGCAGCCTCCTAAACCTCAATCCCCACAAAACCCTAATGCCCCCAAACTCCCTGAGCATATCTCTGCTCTCTCTGGTAATCGCCTTAACCTCCACAACCGCATTCTCACTCTCATTCGTGAAAATGATCTGGAAGAAGCCGCGCTTTTCACCCGCCATTCCATTTACTCCAATTGTCGACCCACGATCTTCACCGTCAATGCCGTTCTCAATGCACAGCTTCGCCAATCAAAGTACTCCGATTTGCTTTCACTCGACCGGTTTATTACACAGGCTGGTGTCGCTCCCAATATTATTACTCACAATTTGATTTTTCAGATGTATTTGGATTGTCGTAAGCCGGATACGGCAATGGAACACTATAAGCAGTTGATCAATGATGCGCCTTTCAACCCGTCGCCCACGACTTACAGGATCTTGATTAAGGGGTTGGTAGATAACAACAAATTGGAGAGGGCAATGGAGCTGAAAGAGGAAATGACTGTGAAAGGTTTCGTTTCAGACCCTATTATTTATCATTATCTGATGGTGGGCTGCCTGAAAAATTCGGATCCCGATGGAGTTTTTAAGCTATTTGAAGAATTGAAGGAGAAATTAGGAGGGGCTGTGGAAGATGGAGTTGTTTATGGAAGCTTGATAAAGGGGTACTTTATAAGAGGAATGGAGGAGGAAGCAATGAAATTTTATGAGCAGACTGTGGGTGATAATTCAGAAGTTAAGATGAGCGCCATTGCGTACAATTCTGTGCTTGATGCGTTATGCAAGAATGGAAAGTTTGATGAGGCCTTGGTGTTGTTTGATAGGATGATAAAGGAGCACAGTCCGCCCAGGCGTTTGACATTGAACTTGGGAAGCTTTAATGTGATAGTTGATGGATACTGCACAGAAGGGAGATTCAGAGATGCCGTTGAAATATTCGAGAAGATGGGTGATTACAGGTGTAGCCCAGATACTTTATCATTCAATAATTTGATCGAACAATTATGTAATAATGGAATGTTGGCTGAAGCCGAGGACCTTTACGGATCGATGGGTGATAAGGGAGTCAGCCCTGACGAGTTTACTTATGGCTTGTTGATGGATTATTGCTTTAAAGGGAACAGGCCAGATGATGCAGCTGGATATTTTAGAAAAATAGTAGAATCCGGACTCAGACCCAATATAGTAGTTTATAATAGATTGGTAGATGAGCTGGTCAAATTAGGGAAAATTGAGGAAGCAAATTCTTACTTTGACATGATGGTGAAGAAGATCAAGATGGAGGCCTCAAGCTATCGTTTTATAATTAAGGCGTTAAGTGAATCCGGGAAAGTAGATGAAATACTAAATGTGGTCAATACTCTTCTGGATGACGATGGGATTGAATTTACTGAAGAGTTGCAGGAGTTTGTAAGAGGTGAGCTGAGGAAGGAAGACAGAGAAGGGGATTTAGCTAAAGTTATGGAAGAGAAAGAAAGAGTGAAAGCTGAAGCGAAGGCGGCAGAGGCACAGAAGAGAAGTGCTAAAGCTGCGGTCTCTTCTTTACTGTCATCCAAGCTGTTTGGGAACAAGGAAGGTGAGAAGGAATCTGCAGAGAACGAAATGCAATCTGGTCAGGAAGACACTGGTAAGACTGCACTACCGGAATCTAACCCTTGAAGTTGCACAGAAAGACGTGAGAAATGAATTGTGTGATCCCTTCTTTGTTTTTGTCAACTCTATTATTTGTTTTGCTCCATTACATGGGAACGTGATCTGCTTTCCGTTTCTCCTAACCAATTAGGCAAGAGTTAGAACCTGTTTAGTTTAGTTGTACATTTTATCCTGTATCTGTAACATTTTTGCTTCTAATGTTAATCTAATCTGTCGGAGCTTCCACTGATTCGATGGAGAATCATTCGTGCGTTCCTATTAAGATAACCCCTTTATCTTTACGCCTGAAGTAATCTCTTTTATAGGACGGCGAAAGCAAGGATCCACGCAAATCCTCTTACAAGTTAGTGAATGTTACAACTTTAGCAAACATCTCTCATTGAAAGATCAAGAATTATCAACATCATCGGTATTTTACAATTAAAAAATCGCCCGTTACAATATATGAGGAAAGGTAAGAATAGGTACAAAGCAAAGCAGTGTCTAAACACCCGAAGAGACAGGCACTGAGCAGCACTTCACTTTTAGCTACAAAGATTCGGAATGCAGGCTCCAGCATCTGGGTTTTGTTCCTTCCATATCCTTCCTGTAACTCTTAGCTTCAGTTCCTTTCTATCCCCGCCTGAGAAGAAGAGAGCCATATTTCTTTGAATAATTAATCCATCGTGGCTGTCCCTGACTTTTCGATGACTATCTCGAATACTTCGTGGTGTACCCTCCCATATCAGTTTTCGCCCATATCCACCAACTTCGAGACTGTAGCTGTAGGTTCGTGCCTCATTCTCATCTCCCATGAATCGAAGGAAAGCCATGTAGACTGGGGCCATGCCAAGCTGAAAGGCTTCAAAGTGAAGGCAGAAATATTGACCGAAACAATGAAAAACCTGCACAATGTGAGAAGAGCAAGCCAAAAGAAACAAGGATTAATCTGAAGTATGGAGTAAAACAAGGTTAAGGTCAAAGTAACATAAAATAAAAGAGAATGATCCAAGACAAGTTTACACATCATCAATACCTTTTTCACATCATCAACCAAATCTATGGACCAACTTTGATGGTTTATATAACTTGCAGCTTGCTATGTATTAATGTACTTTAAATCCTCTTTAGTTTGTTTTCAACAAGTAGGAGTCTTCTGGATTGGGTTTGAAACCCCTCACCCTACCTTTAGTAGCTTCCAAGTTATATAAATAAATACATAAATACAAATTTTACATAGACATACACAGGTGTGCATATAATGTTTATATCACAGATAAGGAAAAATTAGGAGGATACACGAAGTTATACCCAAGACAGAGCAAATGAATTCACTTGGGGTTGAGGCCAAATATATGAGACTTACAGTAAGCATCCAAGTGGCATTCTCCACTTCCTTTGGATTGGATTTCACATAGCGATGGTTAAATGTGCATCCAGTGTGCATGTCCACCTTGTGGTCGTCCCTCAGATGGGCGACAAGAAAGGAAATATCCCCAACAGCAGAGCATTCCGAGCCAGCATACGGGCAACTATAGGGTCTGAAGTTGCATAAAGCCTCATGCTTAAGCTTACCATAGTACGGAAATATCTCAGGGCATCCGAGGGAAAAATACTTGCAAGGCAATTCAAGCGACTCTGCCACCTTCTCCAGTGCTAAGCACCTAATATCTCCAAGCTCTTGTCTACAAGTAGGGCAGCGATTATGAACCCGTGTTTTACAAGTAGAACATAAGGTATGTCCATTGTGGCACTGCAACATTTAGTTGGTCACACAGTTAACCAACATTGAATATGTATCTCCAATAAAATATACATCTTATGGAAAAACAGTATATTTCCTAGAAAATTATTGGAATACAACATGCATATTCTCAACTGCTTTCATTCTGATCTGATGGTACAGATGATATACACAGAGCGAAAGCTATGATGATGGAAAACGACACCCAAGGGAAGCAAGGGGAAAATTAAATTTTCATCAGCCTACCGAAGTAATGTTTCCTCAGCAAATTGGTAGAAACTACAAGCATCTTATGCTATAAATATTGGGTTTTGAGGACAAACGGGGCAAGTATTAACCTAATCTCTGTTGGACAATCTTAGAGCTAGAAAACCTTAAGAAAGAGAGTTTAATGAGTACACATACAACAACATACAATAACCCAAACACTAAGATAAGTTATTTTCTAGCACACAGGAATTTTGAAACCAGCATTCCAGAATCCCCCAAATTTTCAAGATCAACGCAACAGCGACGTTTTCAGGATTTTTTTTTATTTTCAAAAGTAACGTCCATTTCATGTCTCAGCGTAAACATCACCTGCAATGTAAATTTTCTGAATTCTTTCAGGAAATAAGAATAAAAGCAATGAACATCGCCATATAAGATCTTCGGGCAGCAAACGTACATAGAAAAGATCATATCGGAAACTCTAATATGCACTACAATCTCGCCTTACTTTTTCAGTTGATACAGCACTCCAGATGCGCAATAAGATAGACTGACTAGTACAATCAATTATGTTTAAAGAAATAGGCAGTTATCTCCCCCACAAATGGTAAGGAAGAGAAGAAAATAAGGCATTCTCGGAGTAGTTTTTTGCAAAGAACTAGTTCTGACACCATCCACATTCACTTACTTATCGCAGAGAGTACCAGCATACAATGCCCCGCAACATCCAACAACAAGTTCATCGATCAACACTAATCCAAAAACCCAGCAGGAAAAAAGAAACCATTTCATACCAAAATCAAAAATCCAAATTTGGGGGGTGGAGAGCCATATAATCTCCATTCTGTAAGAAATTAGGGCAATGAACACAAACCTGATGGATGGGAGGGTACATAGAATTAGTGCAGACAGGGCATTCGAGCAATTCATGGACGCTAGTCGACGGCGCAATGGCAATGGCAGTGGGGGCGTTCACAGCGCTGTTGTTGTTACCATTACGAGGCTTCGATGCTGACAACTCGGGGTGATGATGAGAGTGAGAATAAGGATGAAGAGTGTGGTGCAAATGGATGTCATCCTCACCGAAACCATCGGACGACGAGACACACTCGATACTATCCAAATCCATTTACAAAACAGAAAAGCGAAGGAGCTGAAGAAAAACCCAATTATCTAAATCCAGAATCAATCAAGATCTCAGAGAAATTTCAGGATTCCCCTCTTCAATAGTTTCCCCACTCACTCCAAATTTCTCCAGAGAGTGGGAAAGAAGCAAAGAATGAAAAGAGGGGGGAAAAAAAAGGAAGGGGTAAGATTGATGGATTCCAAGGAATCAAAAAACCCTTTTACCCGAAAGATGAGGTTCTTTTCTTCGTCTAACTACCCCCTGCGTTCTGTTGTTCCTCTCTTCATAGATCATCTCTGAAATGCAAGTAAGAGAGAGAGAGAGCGAATCCAAAATGGGGATTATTGAAAGACCAACGAATTATAATATATATATATAGCATTTTCTTAAATCTGTATTGAGTTGAGTTGGGATGGTATTATATAGCATGCCATGGTCAATTGATGTAAAATAATTTACCAAAATATTGAAAGTGAGATAGATTTGATAAACAGGTGGGTTTAAAATTAAATTAGTGTAGGGTGTCTATCCTTTTGTAGACAATAATTAATGCAGTGTTTTACTCCTAGCACAACAATTATTGTTGACTATATTTACAGAAGTGGATAACAAAAAAAAAGAACAAAAGAATCCACTGATGTGTATTAGAGTTGCAAAGCAAACATCCATTACAACTTAATCTTTGGAAGATGGATAATAATTATGAATATCACTGCTACTTAACAACAACTCATCCATTACAATGTAATACCACCAAACCAGCAAAGCTCAAAACAGAGAGAGAGAGAGAGAGAGAGAGATTAGGTACAAACAAAGCACAGCAGCTGCACAACACACAACATTCAGAATGCTTTTCTTTAGCTACACAGGTTGGGTATGCAGACCCCAGCATCCGGGTTTTGTTCCTTCCATATCCTTCCCGTAACTCTCAGCTTCAGTTCCTTCCTATCCCCACCCGAGAAGAACAGAGCCATATTTCTTTGAATCATCAGCCCATCATGGCTATCCCTCACTTTTCGATGGCTATCTCTGATACTTCGCGGGGTGCCCTCCCATATCAGTTTTCGCCCATATCCACCCACCTCCAGACTGTAGCTGTAGGTTCGCGCCTCATTCTCGTCGCCCATGAAACGAAGGAAAGCCATATACACTGGGGCCATCCCAAGCTGAAAGGCTTCAAAGTGAAGGCAGAAGTATTGACCGAAACAATGAAAAACCTGCAAAATCAAACAGAGGAACAAACCGCAAGAAACGAGATCAAACTAAAACTTGCATTGCAACAGTACCTTTTTCACACCATAAGAAAAAATTGTGAACCATCTTCAATGGTTTATAAAACTTAAAACTTGTAGCAGGCTATACACTACCAATGAATTTTCTCATCATACATCAATTGCTATTGACTAGTAGAAATCTTATTCTAATCTCTCCCTAATAGCTTGATTGGGTTTGTTATCCTAGCCCTCATACATCTGAACCCACGTGCATGTGTATGATAAAACAATTTCTACCAAAGAAAAAAAAAGAAAAACACTTCAGAATAAAGGTCAAATACATTAGACTTACCGTAAGCATCCAAGTGGCATTCTCCACTTCCCTTGGGTTGGATTTCACATAGCGATGGTTAAATGTGCATCCAGTGTGCATGTCCACCTTGTGATCATCCCTCAGATGGGAAACAAGGAAAGGAATATCCCCAACAGCAGAGCATTCCGAGCCAGCATATGGGCAATTGTAGGGTCTGAAGTTGCACAATGCTTCGTGCTTGAGTTTACTGTAGTAAGGAAATATTTCTGGGCATCCCAAGGAATAATATCTGCAAGGCAATTCCAGTGACTCTGCCACCTTCTCCAGTGCTAAGCACCTAATGTCTCCAAGCTCTTGTCTACAAGTAGGGCAACGATTATGAACCCGTGTTTTACATGTAGAACATAATGTATGTCCATTGTGGCACTGCAACATTTAGTTGATTATACAGTTAACCCACATTTGCATACAAGCCTCGGATACATATCAAAAACAAAGTATACGTCCCATGAATGCTTTAAGACGATATTGGGATATAACAAGCATCTTCTTAACAGCTCTCATCCTGACGGTACCAAAACGAACATGCTACCAAATGATGCAAGAGGAAAGATGAAGATAACTGAAATGACGGGAAATGACACTCTAAAAAAGAAATGGGATACTAAAGTTTCATCAGCCAGTCAAAATCCTGTTTATAACTAAACCCAAAAATCTCCTTAGAAAGTGGGTTCAAACAACCAGCATATTATACTAGAAACAATGGCCTTCAAGCACAAATAGGTCAAGTACTAATCTCATCTCAATTATATAGCCTAGTGTAAGAAAACCTACAGAAAGAAGTACGAGAGATGTTTATGTTTTATGGTTACAACATGATACAACAAATATCAAGCCAAAGACTTGAAATATTTCAATATAATTTAGTTATAAATTTCATACTGAGCACTTTAAATACAAGTTAGCATTTAACACATCCATCCAAAACATTGAATGATCAAACCTTAAATCAGAAACCCAGCAGGGAAAAGATAAATCGAAGGAAATTATGTCGTCGAAAATCAAATGGAAATAGGAAGGAGGCCCTATACCTCCCCCTCCCCCTCCCCCTCCCCCCAGGGAAGAGGGCCATTCTGCAAGTAATTATAATTAGGGCAACAAGGCCAAACCTGATGAATGGGAGGGTACATAGAATTGGTACAGACAGGGCACTCGAGCAATTCATGGACGCTAGTGGCCGGCGCAGTGGCAGTGGGGCCTGCTACAGCGCTATTATTGTTTCCATTTCGAGGCTTGGTTGCCGACAACTCGGGATGATGATGAGAATGGGAATAAGAATGAAGAGTGTGATGCAGATGGATCTCATCCTCATCGAGACCATCGGAAGATGATACACACTCGATACTATCTAAATCCATTGACAAAACAGAAAGAAAGTACAGAACCAAAGCAAGAATGGATCAAGATCTCAGAAAATTGGAGGGTTTCCCCTCTTCAAAACTTGACCAGTTGGGTGCAGAATTCTCCCCGGAAGTCGAAAAGAAGCAAAGGCGAGGAGAGGAAAAGGGGTGGATAAAGGGATCGAAAGAACCCTTTATACCCGAAAGATGGAGGTTCCTTTCTTGGTCGTCTCTACCCCCTGGGGTTGTTCCTGTATTCCCCAGGTGTCTGAAGTGAGAGAAGAGAGAAGAGAGAAGAGAGAAGGGCGTTTAATGGCACCGTAGATTTGGTGATGGGAAGACTAAAACTCACATCCCACGCCCACAACATTGGTTAACACAGCTTGGGATATGTGATCATCACAGTTCATCACTCACCAAGCCCGCCACGTGCATTTACCACTCTTTTTTTTTTCTTTTTCTTTTTCTTTTTCTTTTCTTGTAATTATCATCATAATATCTATTTAAGATCTTTCAATAATTATGGCAATTAAGATGCATCATTATTCTTTTAACTGTTTTCTTTCTTTAAGAGAAAGAATGAATTTTAAGGTTGTCTGGCCAGCAAATGAAAGAGGCTGCCTTAATTTGTTCAACTAATACATATTATCTTAGCAATTGACTTATAATTATTCATTCTATAAATATAAATACTTGTCAGCTTAAATATGTTAAGAGTCTTGTTCCAATCAGCAATTTTATTTCATTTGTATCCAAGAATGAATCACAACTAAGAAATTAAATAACTTCATTAGTGAGTGCGGGGCCTAATTGAAATCTCAAAGTGTATCTAAAAAAAAAATACTCGTAGAAGTTAAAAAAAGGGCAATCATATCTTTAATTATAGGCTTCCCTTTCCAATACATATAGTATTAGGAAAATGCAGGCTGAAAAGGGGAATATCAACCTTCGATACGGATATGGCTGTGAGTGAATTTGAAGCTACAAAAGCATATTATTCCCAATGTTAACCTCATCAATCAACATTCATGGGCAAGTAAATTTTGTGCTTTCCCCACCTTTTGTACAAGGTGTAGGCTCTCAAAGCATCAGGACTTTGAAAATGAAAAACACAACACTTTCTTTTTAGAGAATCAGATAATCTGTATGACAGTAATTTCCCATTTGAGCTATTAATAAATGTGGACTAGTAATATGTACAACATTACAGTTATAATACATGGACTTTCAGGAATGGCTGGTTACATGCTGCTGGCAACAACTGAAGGAAGATCTGTTTCACTTTCGGGTTCTGCCTCTTTTTCGGAACCCTGACTTGTAGTCTGCAAACCCAAGTTATCAGCATTATTAGATTGCCAGGAAAGATATGTAATCGATATTGATAGAGCTTTCTATCTTCTACCTTTTGTCCTGAAAGATAGCGATCCAATGCTCCCTTTCCGTAAAGAATTTTAGCGCCACAACCCGTGCTGTCTGACCCAATGGATTCTTCATCAATGATAACAGCATCGATTATATCCTCACCTGTTCTGACATCAGGAATCTGCAATACACTCCAAGGTGATATGGTAGGTTAAAGTATAAGAAATTGTTTGTCAAATGACTTGCTGCAGTGAAAAGAACAGAACCACTTTGACTCAGAGTACATGTAGCTTATTTTAGTTTACTAATGGCTTCCAAAGGAGGAAAAAAAAAGCAAGTGTTGTTTCATTCTTGGTCTTAGTGCACACCTGTTATTTCTGCAGTCACCGTCTTCTCAAAGCTGTGCCATCTTTACTAATGTAGTTTTCATCTACTCAGAAGGTCTTCTTTGTTACCGAATTGTATCTATTTAAAGCCATTTGCAGTCTTAAAATAATAGAGACGAGATTTATAGTGGTATTAGTTATGATCCCCCAAAGTTTTGGTTGTATAGGCGGCTATCACGAATTGTGAAGATGAGCACTTTCCTGCCACTATTTAGGGCTTCCCCTAGGTGATAATTCCAACCAGTTATCCTTTCAGAGACCTATTATGGAAAAGGACCAGACTCCAAAAGCATCTTCTTCCTAAAAGAGGCACTTTTCTCTAGGGAAGAGGTTGACTCTAATTCAGACTATTTTGAGTGGGATCCTAACAAACTCTCTTTTTAGAATTTCTCCCTCTGTTAGTGATGGTTTCAAGAAGATCATGAGAGATTTCCTATAAAATTCAACAAGGGTAGGGTTCCCATTTGATTAGGTGGGATTTGTGATAAGACCCACTGAATTAGGTGGGTTGGGCATGGGAAACTTGAGGCTTCCTAATTGGGCTTATTACCAAAATGGTTGTGGCGTTTCAATTTGGAGCCAAATGCTTTGCACCATAGGGTTTACTGTGACTTGTGACGTGAGAAAGGGGTTCTCACTTGTTTGGATGGGTCTTGAATTTTCTGTGGCTCAATGTACATATAGGAATTACTTGGAAGCAATCTCATCTTCTTTCCCTTTCTTTTCATTTGTGATATTTTCAGATGTGGCTCAAATTCTGGACAATTGGTTGGGTTGGATGATAGTCCTCTCTACTTGTTTCCTCATCTTTTAATGCTACTCTGTGTGACTATCGTCCTTCATTCTTTAGGGTAATTGCACATCATATAATTTTTGGTTTCCCACCTATTTTAAACAAGAAAACTTTTGATGTTTTAGCTCTCCTTTGTTTGTTGGTCAGTTTTCACTATGATCCTAGGATAATTATGGATATCCATTAATAAACTGTGATTCATCCAACGGGTTTCTTCTACATTTTCTTTTCATCTTGTGTGACCCTCAACCCTTCAGGTACTTCTTATTTTCCTTGGTACGGTAGGGTAGAATTCCCAAGAATGTTAAACTTTTCTACTTAGCTGGTCCTCCATGAGAGAGTTAACACTAGTGATTCAATTCATAGGCACTTGTCCATATATGGTTTAGATTGCAGTGGCGTCTTCTTTGTTAGAATGCTTATGAGGATTTGGATCACATCCTCTGGAGATTCCAGTACACAATTCCAATTTTGGACTGCGTTTTGGGATCATCGGGGGAGTGTTTAAGGTGTTGAGAGGCTCTAGGGGAGGCTTGGTCTTTGGCCAAGTTCAATGTCTCTCTGTAGGTGTGTTTAGAACTTTGGAATTTTCCTGTCGACCCTATTCTTATCGATTGGAGTACTTTTTTGTATCTATAGCTTAGATTTTTGTCTTGACATTTTTCATATTAGGCTCTCCTTTCTTAGGCCACTTGTATTTTTAAGTTCATATGGAGAAATAAGGAACAGCCTACCTCGTACATAGCATCCATCAATAGATTCTCCAATATTGATCGCAAACCCCGTGCTCCAGTGTTCTTAGACATTGCCTTTCTTGCAATTAATCTCAAGGAATTTTCTGTGAAGTGGAGCTTGACCTGGTGACATGTTATCCCAAGATATTAGTGTTTAAAGTTAACAGAAAGTTGAAGTAATAACAGTACCAACACAATAGAAGGGTAATAAGTAAATGTATAACTGTACGGGTACAAAAATTCAAGTCCTCCCTTGGAATCTGAAAAAAAGGAAAAGAGCAGAATAACTTACGTCATTCATCTGGAACATCTTTCTATACTGCTTTCCTAGCGCATTTTTTGGCTCTGTCAAGACCTAAAAATGAGCAGTATGCAAGTCATGTTGAGTTGGGAAGATAACATCCATAGCAATTAAGATCAGTAAAACTTGAGAGCTTAGAGAGATTATCGACTTATGTTCTTCACAATCATTAGTTTACTAACCAAATATCAGCGTAGAGGCATATTATTCCACATATCTTGCAAGCATGACAATAAAAGAATGTGGACTGGACCTACCATAAACTTGTGCAGCTAAAAGAACGCGAACTGAAACTACAACCATCTTGTGCAGCTAGATCTCACCATGCAATCAGTGAATTTTGGATTTTCTTATTTAAAATGAATTCCATGACTCCCCACAGTAGCAACAGAATCGGGGAAAGTATAGATAAAAGACAGTTATGTTCTATTCTATTAGTATTAGTATTAGTTCGGGAGATCTTGGTTGACCCAACACTAGAAATAAATACATGAGGGCTATCTTTCAGAATAAATGATCACAAGAAGAACAAAATATAGAATATACCTGAACAAGTTGGTCTTCTGTTAGGGCTGACAAACTGACGAGGATGGGGAATCGACCAACAAATTCGGGTATTAACCCATATGCAATGAGGTCACTACTTTCAACCTACCAAAATATAAATTCTCTATGAAAAACCAGTAAGAGAATGATAGAAACAAGACACAAATGGATATCTATTCTAAATTTGCAGAATTTGGTGTACAATCATATTGAAGTCAGAGTTGGGAGAGGAGACAGAACTCTGTTTTTGAAAGATGTTTGGTTTTAGTCTACATATCCCTTTCTTTACCATCTCTCTCAAAAAAGTGGCCCCCAATGCTGATCTTCGGAATCGAAGTGCTGGTTCTTGGAACCTTTTCTTGAGAAGAAATCTTAATGAAGTTGAAATTGAAGAATGGGCTTCCCTATCTCATTTACTTTTGACCTTCATAGTCAAAGATCAAGAGGATAGATGGTTTTGAGCGTTAGAGAAGAAGGGGGTTTTTTTCTACAAGTTCACCAACTCAAAAGCTTGCTTCCACTAGTAATTTGATCGATTCGCCTTTTTATCAACAGTTATGGAAGGCCGTCCTCCAAAACTTTTCTAAATTTAAATGCTTGGGCCCTTTTTTGTTTAAAAAAATTTCTCCACCATGTACAAATTTTAAAAATAAAAATAAGAAAGATCATGTAAAATAGTGTGTTGGACACGTGTCCGGATGTATCCGTGCCCAACACATGTCTGACACAGACACTCAGGCTTAAAATGAAGTGTCCATGTTTCATTGCTGTTATTTATAAACTGAAAGTGGTCTGCACTTACAGTCTCCAATAGTGAAGAAGTAACAATGGCATCTGTAACACCACTTGCCCTCATGTTTGCACGAACTGGGGCCCCAAACCCTAAAGAAGAATCTTGTCGCCTGAATTGAAGAAAAAGTCCTCCCAGGTTATAAACTAACGTAAGTAATTGGTACTGAAATGAGTAAACTAGGGTAGCTATTACATGCAGATAACCTTTCTGAGATAGTTTTTTCTAAGTCGATGAAGGCACCCCCACATATGAAGAGAATGTCCTTAGTATCAATCTGCAAAGAAACATTTCATAATGATTATCTATAATGATCACTATTTAAACTCCTAAGCCAATTATTTGTTCATATCATTATAATAAAGATAAGTGGAGAAACACATCTAAAGGCTCACTGTTCTTTTATTCCCTTGCTAGGAAAGCAAATTCCTTCAAATTACAACCACCTACCTGGATATTTTCACCTCTGGGATGCTTTCTTGCACCTTTCTCAGGCACGTTTACAATCTAGATATAAAGAAAATATATATCACATATGAGCTCACCACAAACGACTAGAGAACAAAAAATATATACTACGAAAGGCTCTAGTCCAAATTAGGAATTCCTGATTTCATTCTCACCATCGCAATGGTTTCAATGGCATCATAAGTCACGTGTGCCTGCTGCACATAATCATAAAACTTCACCTACAATGAATTGCAAAACTTACCGTTCCTTCTAGCATTTTTAATAATGCCTGCTGCACGCCCTCTCCTGACACATCTCTGCTAATGTTAAGGCTCTCTGCCTGCCTCATACAAATGCAATAGAATTATCAGGCAAAGAAAATTTACATCAGTCCTTCCTCAGAAGATGGGGAGGGAAAGGTGAATATAAGAATCGAGGAGAACCTTCTTGGTAATTTTATCAACTTCGTCTATGTAAACAATGCCCTGCTGTGCAGCTGCCACATTATAATCAGCAACCTGACATTTAAATACATATAAGAACAATATCAAGAAAGGAGAATATTAAGAACCGGAGCCAAAACGAAGTTACAGGTTCTGAACTAAGTATTGGAAAATAATTTTTTATTTAAGAATTAAACCAAATGAAAAAGAATATACAGTACGGTAATGGTTTGATTACAGAAAGAAAGAGTGTATGCTGCATGGTCTTGATTGACATATTGGATGTGAAATGAAAAGTTTAACTGTACTCTGGTGCATACCATCAGAAGTTTGTACAATATAGACTCCACGTCTTCTCCAACATATCCCGCCTACACACAGCAACAAAAAATATCCAACTAAAACATTATAAATTCAACCAGAAAACGTCAGTGACTGGAAGCAACTTGATACTCTATCTTAACAACTATAGATGAATAACTCAAGGTTCCAAACTGAAAGAAATTTACCTTTTGAATCATTAACAATTTATAGTTAACGTAGGCAAGACACTACAATTGATTGAATTTAGTGGACCTAGAAACTAGCGGGTATATAAGACTCGTGGAACAGAAACATATATCTTTGTGCCATCAACATCCAAGAAAGTTAAATGAAATATCCAGAACACAGCAAAGGTTACTTGCCCATGAAAAACACAACTAACCCTATTAAGAACTAAATTTTTTATGCAAAAAAAAAAAAAAAAAAAAAAAAAAA